CCATCAGAACGCAATTTTGATGCAATAAAAATATCATATCCAGAATCAGGATCAAAAACCGAGTCGGCTAATGTATAGTTCGAAATTTTTAGTTCATTTTCATTTTTTGGTGAACGTCTCGATAATAATTTAACGTGGAAATTCGACAAAAAATAAAGCAGTCGAATACAATCGAAATATACATTAATTGACTCAGTGTTTGAATCTGATTCTGGATATGATATTTTTATTGCATCAAAATTGCGTTCTGATGGAGACAATTGAGAATTTCGGGCAGAATTCTGACTTTTTCGTCTAGGATTTAGAAAAAATGAATTTTCTCAGCAACGAAAGGGAATTTCAATAAAAGCCATGCATACTTTTTTTGGTTGCGTAAAGACGAATTGAACGTGATATAAATCAAGCTTACATCTCTTAACAGAAGAAACTAGATAGATTTCCAAAATTTATTCGCGCACCTTAGACTCTCTCTGGACATGAGATTCAATTTTAGACACATTATGTGGCTTTTTTAAATGGAATACGAAAAAAATATTCAATAATTTTTACAATCTAACGGTTTTATGAAATTCTAGATCCTTTCAGTATTTTGAAAATGTCTCTTTCAAAATCCAATCTTTTTCAATTAAAATCTAGATATTTTTTATCAGTTCGTCGAGCTCCATCGAACCATGGATAATATAGTCAACAATTTAATAGTGCTTAAACTTCGAATTTGATGTGCCTTACATAGAGTGAGGTTTTGAGGAATATGCATGTATGTATATGTACAATCACCATTAATGCACTACTTATGATTGATACTGATAATATATGATTTTCAAATCAGATTGTGAAGAGATTCTACTTAACTGTAATATGTTTTAACACTAACTGAATTATTGCTCATGACTTTTCTCTACATGATGACTACATAGAACAGAAACTTTTCTCACACCAGATACCATTGAAAAAGTGGAGTGGAAATATTATTTTCTATTGACACCTGATTTCGAACGAATGTTTCTCGTAACAGTAATTAATAACGATTTCACAGAAACGAGAGTCTGAAAGCTGTAAGAGAATAGGTGTAGTAATGGAATACAATTGAATGGACAAAGTCGTTCATTTCTATCTCATTTATAGGACTAAGCGTGCCCTGGGCTCCTATCACAAAAAAACTTAAGTCGTGATTTAAGTCTAAGTTTAAGACCAATTTAAGTCTGGGGACATAAACCGTATTACGAAAAGACTTAAGTTGGGGATTTATCTACTTTTTGAAAGTCGTTGGCAACAGTGACAAACTTGGGATAAAAACCCGCAAAATAACGAAATATTTATTCTCTAAACTTTAAAAAGCCGTGTTTGTCAAATCGTATCTTTAAATGACTCAGCTATTCGAAAAATGCGTCAATGACTTAAGTTCGACTTAACTTTAAGACTACATTTTCCATGACTTAAATCACGCTGGGATTTAAATTTTTTTGTAATACGGTAAAACTTTAGTCCAGAGACTTAAGTTCTGACTTAAATCCAAACTGTGACTTAAGTTTTTTCGTATTACGGGCCCCTGAATACTCATAATTTATTCAAAAAGTTGTATTTCTAACACAATAGTTCACTAATTTTAAAAAAATTTTATTAAACGAAGCGATTCGTTTCATACCATTAATAAAAGAAGTTGAATATCATGAGTTATGGTACAAAATCAATCTTTTTTGTTACAATTTTTTGTAGATCCCTTGTGTGAACTAGTAGCCTTTTGAGTTTGTAGTGGAATATAAATTATCTTCTACAGTTGAAGAGGAGACATCAATTTTTTCAGGTTCTAATTAATTCTAATTAAGGTTCTAATCTTAAGACAAATTCATTATTGTTTGCCGTAACTAAGGTAGAGAAGAAGAATGCTAATATAAAATATTATCATTTTGACAGTTTAGATTTATCACGATAGAAATTATTGTTTATTTACTCTAGTTTTAGCGGCATTTTACTTGTTATTGGTTCAATTCTTGACGGCAGAAAAATAGGACAATTTGAATCTATTTATTTTTCTTTGTAATAAGAGAGATTCAAAAGGAAGAACAACGGAACAGCACGTCAAAAGACTAATCAAATTCAATGCTATAATTTCTAAAACTATAAAAGAATAAAACTGAGCTTAAAAATTCAACTAAATATAGGACGCATATACACACAACATGTGTCAAACAGCATCAGTCTATGAGATGTTATAAAAACTGAATTAACGAATTGTTTTTTTTCTTTTTTTATATAATAAAACTTGTTACGTTAAAAATAACATAATAAAACATTGTTAAATGTTATACAATTACTTACCTCTCCTAAATACATAAGTTCATTTGCACTCGTTAAACTTGTTTGACTTTTTCTAATATCCATTTGATCTAAATCTAAATCTAACGCATCACGATCCATATCAGCACTACATGGTAAAAAAGAAAAAGCGTCTAAAAAACCGTTCAATGCAAAGTACCCACGAAGATTCATACTACATAACATCTAAAAAAAGCGTCGATACATATCCGTGCTAGAGAAAAGCGTCAAGACAAAAAGGTCAAACCTAAACCGTCTTTTGGAGAAATTTAGCACAATACTGCGTTATTTTTTCGGTCTTAGCCGATTCGTTTTGCTCGGTCATCCAATAGGTCGAGATTCTCAAAGGCGACGGATAGTAAATAAAGTCAGAGAAATTCCTAAAAGTAGAGTAGCCGGAGGATACTGTTGAACCGCTGCTCTGTGCCAGTTTTTCTATTACATAGCCCTTGAACTTCGCGCACTCACTGCAAGGATATGCTGCTCAGTGTAGTGTCTTGCCTTATTAGATTCACCAAGTAAACAGGTACAGAGATGTAATCGATAACGGCGAAAGACTAAGCCGTTCCGTTTTGGTAAGATTTTTAGAACGGCCTTAAGAACGGTTGTTCTAAAAACAGGTTTTGGTCGATGCTGTTTGGAGTTTATTTTTGAAACAAAATTACTATCTATTTCAAAACAGAGTGATCTCTGATCTTTTCTGTATAACATTTTGATTGAAAAGAGATAAAGACTTGCGGTCTTCGGTATTCCATAGAGGACAGTGTAGCACATGTATCTATAAAAAAACTGTGCTTACGTTTGAGTGAGATATAAATTTTTTAATTTTCAATAACAACAGCTAAAAATGAGTTATTTCACATATTATAGATTTCCGATAGGTTTTTGAGTTCTATTCCAAAAACTAACGTTGCCACGAGATTCAACATAGCCGATCACCTATGGTTTCATTTATTTCTAAGGTATATTTATCAACGGCGAAAAACGTAACGATAAATGATGTTGCTTATTCTTCAGGTATAGCCCATTTTTATCAATAAACAGTGTTTATCTTCAGTGCCAGTCTTTGGGATGATACAATTGCCTCCGAAGAAGCGTCTCTAGTAAATCATATTCAAGAAAACGCCCACTGACAATCATATTTAGAAAAGTTTTCACATAAAATTGTCTCTTAAAAGCGTTTTCTAAAAAGTGTCTACTAAAAATTAACGACAGAAAAGCATACTAAAAGGGAACAAAAAAGCGGCAAATTTTAGACGCTTTTCTTTTTTTACCGTGTAGTCGCAGATAAATAATTGATCATTGATCGTCCCAGTTAAAAGAATATTTGTATTTTATTTGTCAACAGCAACAGCAACAATAACAAAATATTTTCTCGTCTTGTGTGGATGTTCTAAATGAAAAAAGAATGAAAAGAGAAGAAAACGACACAAATACAATGTTTTTATTCTTTCTTCTTGTCAAAAACACATACTTGATTATATCAATAGTCTATAGATATCTATGAGACGTTGATATTGTTAGTAGAATACAAAATATTCTCAAAAAAATAAAAAATAAAAAATAAAAACGAAAAATAACCCGTTTCTATTTCGCGTGTTATCTTTCTATCGATTCAATTAGCTACTACACTAGTAGAAATAAATAATAGACGACAATGACCATATTTTATTTATCGGGAATGTATAATATATAAATCAATTTACAGAAAAAATGAGAGAGAATAACTGAGAATAATGTTCATCTCATATGGTGTTATATTCATTAACATCTGAAAAAATCAGAGAAAGAAGTCATATGAAGATATTATGATAACTTGTGAAGATCTCTACAATAATTTCATCGGTTGTTCATGTCAATCAGTAGGATAGATAATAAATTAAACAGAAGAATCTATTTATATGGACTATTGAAAAATTTTTTAATGTAAACATTTTTTAGACACAATTAGTTTGAACAGAAAGATTATTTAATTTATCTTCGAAAAATTCTTTTAAATACCCGTATAATATTCAAAAAACGATTTATTCTTGTGCAGAATTGAAACACGTAATCTTGTTTTGACTATAGAAATATACAAACTGTTTATATTTCAGTGACTTACTGTAGTTTATTACTATACCATATTTTACGACATTTGAAGTGGAAAAAGTCAGTGACAGCTGTATGAGAAAAGTCAATAACCGAATAATATCCATGTATGTCTAATAGTGTATTTTTATAACAATGTCAAGTAAAAAAGAGTTGTTAAGAAAAAAAATTCAGCTGGTTTGATTTCCAAAAGTATTTGGATTAACTATTTTTCCTAAATAGTTAAAGAAATATAAGACACATATTTTTATTCCGTTTTTCACCTTTAAGATCAAATTTTTACACTTTTCTTTTTGTGATTTAATTGTACGTTTTCTTTTTCTCAAAAATTGACATGTATTTGTTTTACGTTTTCGTTCGCTTAATAAAATCGTGTACTCAATCTTTTTTCATTTGTAGATCTAAAATATAGAAAAAAATTTGCCCAGATTAAACATCCAAAAGCGTAGTTTCACACATCTTTATTTTCAGTATCTCTCACAGATTTCAAGAAATTATCTTAACTTACATAAAAACTTATTTTTCCCCTTCGTTTCTCTCGAAATATCATTTATATTACTAAAGATTAACCTGTTTTTATTATTAAAAATAAACTATTTTGATAATCTAGAAGGTTGTTTTCATTTAAGGATATACTTATCCTTGAAAATGTTCATTTACGAAAGAAAAATAGGATACTTAAAACGTCTACTTACATATATTCGATTCAAGTTCTATTCATTACGGAAAGATTTGAAATATCAGGAAGCGAACGAGAGTAAGAGAGAGAGTAAGAATGAGAGAAAGAAATGTTGTTTTTCAACAAGTTCTTAGTTCAAATTCATTAGATCACTTTCTCATCTAATAACTTGAGTAGAGAGGGAGAGAGAGAGAGAGAGAGAAAGTGAGTGAGTTGAGTGAATGAACGAAGAAATAAGACAAGAAGGAAAATTTCTTATGAATGTGTGTGTGTGTGTGTGTGTGTTGTTATTATCTTCAAGTCTTATTATAATTATTAATAAAATAATATCTATCTATTACATCGTCTTTCTTCTTTTTTTCCCCTGGGCTGTTAAATAAATGTGTTTACCACAGATGCCACATAAAAAGTAGAAGAAAAAATAAAAATAAAAATTTTTTCTTACTTTATATCTAATCTTTTTGTCTATTTCAACTAGCTCGTTTTTCTTTGTTTTCATTCATACACTTTCTTTTTTTTTTTATCTGAAAAATCAATTGTGTAAAATGTTCTAATGCATGTGCATAAGTTCAATACTAAAAATACCCATGGCAATTATAATCATAGAATGCACAGAATATTCCCATAAGGCATTTCCTTTACTACAGCTATATAATGGAGAATGAGACAAAATAATGTAGAAACTTAAAATCCTGTGAAAGATATTTTTTCTTTTTTTTATTTCTTATTTCTTTTATTTTCAAATGACAAACAATAAAAAAAAGAAAGAAAAGATTTCTGTTCTTTTATTCTTCATTAAATTTTTACTACAAACATATATATATCTATAAATGTAGCAGGTGAAGATAAATGATTAATTCAAGTTCTTTTTTCATTTAAAAATTAGTGCCTATTGATGCGAATGACTACTATTTCCAGTCAAGTGCATTTAATGAATATATTTCTTTCTTCTTTTCACACCTTTGGGTGAGATTCATGTTTCAGAGAAAGCAATTGAAAATTAAAATCGGTTTCATCCACACATACAGCATTATTTTCAATTTAATTTTCGGTACAAATGCTCTAAAAATACTTTCCTTTATTAAAAATTTTTCTTTTAAACCCTTTTCTCTATATTATATTTGACTCATAATCGATTTAACACGGACTCAAACACAAATTGTTAACTTTCAAAATAATCGTGTTCTATGTGAAACATGATGAAGAAATTCGAATACAATAGTCTTATATTATAGAGAGATTTATTTCTTTTAATACTCACAGATGGAACACCTCATTTAGTCTACAAGTATATGGGATTTGTAGAGTTTTTATTACATATTTTTGTCTGCGTGAATCTCGCATATGCTAGTGAAAGAATGTTTAAAATTCTGATATTGTTATAGGTATGTGAACGAAGACAGATGTTGTAATATTTTGTAATCTTCTTGGAAAAAATATCTCTCACAAGGAAATCAATCTAAGTGATACCTTCCGATTTCATTCGTTCATACGTCGATCGATAGAGGGTATCGAGCTAGTAAAAAGCCTAAAAGAATTTTTTCCATGACTCTTGAAGATTCGCTTTTCTGGAAAACCAGTTTTTCAGAAACTCTAAAAAATAATCAAAATCTTTCTTAATAAGACATAATTGTAGAGTGCAAATTTTTAATTAAAATGAGACATCTCCCAGTTCTTCATGACTTTTGTTTGCAAAGTTATCGAATTTACAAGAAAAGTCCT